TTAACAATTCACAGCATTAAAGCTAAGAAAGGGGGGCAGACATGCTTAAAACATATGCATTTTGAATATAATTTTTTTTAAGTGTGTAAATAATCTTTTGAAGCTTTATAAGAATAACCATGATTTTTTTTTTTTTTTTTTATTTAACTGAAAAGATATGGTATTAAATGCTGGCAAGGCCATTCATGCATTATGCATGCTGCTAAACCCGCAAATATTTTACTGACACTTCATTCTGCCAGTGTGCATTACTATTTGTTGTGACCAGCAGATGTGTCATGAAGCCATCACACCTCCTTCATGCTTCCTGCATGCATGTGAGTCCTGCTACAGGAGAGAAGTCAAGTCTGAGCCCTTGATCCAAACGTTCACTTTAAATACATCCGCTAGGCTGATGATCATTTATTTCTAATCTTCTATTGCTTCATAAGATACATTAAAACATCACACAGTTGAGGAATATAATCTCTGTGAACTAATCTTACATCTGCTAATCCTACAATTTAGTTCAAAAACACGAGGGAAAAATAAATGTTGTAACTTATATAATGCAAGTTTCTTCAAAGAGTTGTAGATGCTGTCCAGTAGCAGTCTGTTTAACAGCTATTCAGTGAATACCTCTGACTAAAGACATTCTGTTGTATAATAGTCTCATGAAGGCGATACTCAGGGTTGTCTGTAATGTAAATACCTCTGATTTCACTAGACATGAACCAGGAATGGCTGGTGACTGTAACTGACTGATTTTCAGCTTGGTTGGTGGTTGGTTAATGCGAGACTCTTCAAACTGTAAACACATCAGGCACAAAGTGGGGAAATACTACAAAGTAGCTATTTTTAGTATCAGTTTGGTGCTTAAAAGTACAAATGCAGAAGCTGTGACAAGCCATTTGGAAAGAAACTGGAAGCCGAGAAAAGATGGCACTCCAAAAGCAGGAAATATACCAAAGCGCAGGGCATTCTGGGTAAAAACAACCAATGCAAACCGTCAAGTCTAGCACTAGAGTTCTAGTTTCTCCCTACGGAGAACTAGCTTGTGATGGCAAAAACAAGAGAGTTCCTACAACCGCTAAAACCTGACGCCACTCCATTTTTGTTCACATTTTACAAAGAAGGAGGTTGCACTCTGTCTTAGAGACTTTTGTGACGTTTACTTCATTTGTGCAGCGCCACCAAAGGTAATGGTGGAACAGTTTAGTTTGCTTAATAGAGTGCAGTGTGAAAGCAAACCTCACAAATTGAAAATGGAGCAATTTTGGCCTCCGATCGAATCAATTATACTGGACCATCAACCTGAAATACTAGGACAGATTTTTATTTATTTATTTTTATTTGTTAACACCCTATTGTAACAGCATGAATGTCATCAAAAGTTTGAATTCTGTTCCTATATCCGATTATATTACAGATTAAAAAGTGAAAATGGTCAAAGGTTGACCAGAAATGGACCAGAAACCTCTGATCTGTCCATCTGTAGCCTCATCTGGTGCCTGAATGTCCCGGTTGAGGTAATGGACTGAAATCTACTTGCTTGCACAAACAAGTTTCTGACATGCTGATCTGAACTGATTTACATCAGCAGTTTACACTACCTTGATGATGCAACAAGCAAACAGCTTAACTGCACTGAATGTTTTATGATACCCATGACTGCTTGGAAAAAAACCACAAAAAAAAAAAAAAAACACACATGCTGCATAAAATCAATAGGAAATACACTTTGTGATCAATGTTTGACATAAATGTCAGTTTCACAAACTTCTTATGAGCTGCTGAGTTTAAATAATGACTGGAGACTTTGACTCAGGTTCAGTGTGTGTCTCCTTCTGTTTTACCTTCTGCTTTGTACACTTGAACTGTTTGCTTCAGCCACAGAAATGTCAGCTTTGATTTCTCTTTCTCTCTTTAGATTTTATTGAGTTTTTCTACTTAATTCACTGTTTCATCACTGATCAATGTTTTATCACCATTTTATCTTGACAATTGAACAATTGTCTAACCCCTTTTCCCCTTCAGAGAGCCCCAGAGGTTTACTAGGTGTAAAGTAAAAAAAAAAAATAGAATGCTCTGAAAGGCTGCCCACAATTTATGCCTCTTGGACGTCGAGCGCTTTTCCTCAGCGCTGTTTATATGCGGGAGTGTTTCAGAGAAGCTTTATACAGTGAGAAAAAGATTCACATCTTCAGACTGAGGATGATTTCTCCCATCTTCCCGAGGTAGGACACTAATCAATATTTAGCCCAGGGTTATTTAATTTAGACAAGCTGTTTGATTCATACATTAAAATTTCCAATTACCTGTCAAGAGTTGAGCGAGCCCCGAGGAGGCTGTTTTAATCATACAGCTTTATCAAACTCTTTAAATTGAGTTGAACGGGGATAGGATCAAACATTCCGCCTCAGGGAAGGTGATATTCCTTAATTTGGTGAAAATAGTCAACATTTTGAAAATCCATGTTTGACTACTTATACATAATAAATACTTAGCACTGCTTTCCGTTTCTATTCCCTCTCTGTTCTGATCTAATTCATGTAAATGCTTCTTGAAGGACTGATAAAGAGCCCGAAAGGAACAGTTTCATCCAGTTCCACTGAGAAGTGTATTTACTCTCATCATCTCAGTGTATATCATGTTAATTTAGGGTTTTTGAAGATGTAATTGCAGTGGGATTGTTTTTCCAGAATAATACAACAAACAAAATCAGAGTATTGTTTTTAAAACACTGATCCAGGTACACCTGGAAAACAAGCTGAAGCTGTAACCGGTGACTCTTTAAGATTTCAATAAAGCACTGGTCTGAACTTTACTTAATGGACCACTGAGATTGTAGCATCGTAGAAGACGTAGTTCCAGAGTTTAAACAAATGCCATTTGTCGGTCATCACGACAGAGTAGACCATAATTGTGAATTCACGAGTAATTCACATCAAGAAAAGAATTGGGAATGGGAACTCTGTTTGAGGAGAAACAATATTCATCCACATTAAATTACTGAAAAATAAGAAGTCTGCTTTCCTCACCATAGACACCTGAACCAAAACAGTCCATGTGATTGTGATAACACAGAAACAGAATGTACTTTAAAACATTTTAACCATTCTAAATCATTCTGAAAAGGGGAAAATAATAATCTACTCAAGAGTTTTCTGTCCTCCTGACAGCTGATTTTGTGACCAGTGACAGTAAACCGATCGTTCTAACCAACATCCTTTCCTCTGAGGACGACGGTTTGGGTCAGATGGCTGATACTTGGAAGCAATGCTGGCAAACACACATGAAAGCTGGCACTGGAATGGGCATAACTGGTTGAAATTTAGTTTCTGTAATTCCTCTGATGTCAGCCTGTCTTCAATTTACAGACTGTGCTTAAAAGCCAATTCATAGCGAACCAACTATTTCAAATGAACTCTACTGTCCTAATAATAAGAGCAGACAAATAGCAAGCCAAAAGTTAACCACCATATTCCCAACAGTTACACCAAGTGATTGTTTTTTTTTGCAGCTCTGTGAGTCATTTTTCAAAAGGCACTAGCGACGATCTCTGGATTATGGATAATTTAGAATAAATTCAAACATAGGGACTTTTAAAATAATGAAACTGTTAGTTGTTTACTCATTCATCACTAAGACAAATAGTTTAAATAAATCTTTGAAATACTTAGTTTAATATAATTTTAATAAACATGATGAGTTTATGTGAAGTCCTCACTGGCACTTCATCTCATTAACCTTCAGGCATCATAATGACATTTTGGTCCACTTGAACAACATTTTTACCTCCGTCAATGGAAATTTTTGCAAGAAAGACAATGTTTTGACAAATACAGGATCTTTTCTTTTCTAAGGACCATTAGAAAAATGCTAACTTCTGAAAGAACAAAAAAATCACTTCTTTTTTAATAAAAAACAACAGTAACACAAGGTGCTACTGTTTCCATAAAATCGTGGCAAATGTTAAATATCTGGTTATTTTAAGTGAGAGTTACGCAGAAAAAAAATATTAGGCAGTAAAGTTTTTTGAATTTGTTTTTTGCAAGTGGACATTTTTGTCCTTAATGAGTTCCAAGGTCAGAAAATTAAACTGACATATGTTGGTTAAGGATTCAATTTAAATTATTTCCAAAGTCAGATTAAGTTGGGATCAAAATAAACGATTGTCATACAAACTCCAGTCCCAGCATTATGCACATTGACAAGTTATCTGCGCTCCCATTCCTTCAAATAACGTCGTGGTCAAGTCTAAAACCAACATATGCCTCATCTGCAGGTGGTCACAGCTGGACCCCCTGTCTTACCATTTCTGAATCCATTTCACAAAGAATATTACAGAGATCTGAGCTTGCTGCGCGATATTTCCCATTCTGTCTCATCAGTGACAGGAATGATGTCTGGCATGGCAAACAGAGTAAGTGTAAGCTCCCTAAATAAAGCATGAAATTGACAGGATGCCTGTCTAAGTGAGGAAAGCACAGAGCCAGCAGCCCCTGAAGACGCACACAGGTACAGCTGCTCACCTCCAGGCGTCACGCCTCCCATTTGGACTTTCATTTAAGTACCCGTCGCTCTGAGTCAACACTTTTAATGCAGAAAATGACTTTATTTTCCATTATAAGGTCCATATTTAAAAATCTTCCAACACAAAGAGCTGCTCAGCTTTTCCACCTCTCCACAGAGGAATTTGCATACATTGGATCACTAAAGACACAATTTTTTTTTTTACCAATTTCAGAGGCTTGGTCATGGTTGTGTTCAAGTATGGGATAAAAAAAGTCTGAGAAATTTCGTTCACCAGGAGTCTGCTTTCAAAACCTTGTTGGGAAAACTCGACACGTAGCACATTTACACCCTGCAGATGATTTGGTGACTGACGTGTATACTGATGAAGATTTATGTCTCTAGATTCAAATGTGAGCGTACGGCTACATATGTGTCTCATTGTGCAAAAAAAAAAAAAAAAGAAATTAGGTGCAAGACACATTTCAGGAGAGCCTTTGACTCACCGGGGAACTGGTAGCTGTAGCTGGGTGCAAATCCAGTGTATCCGCGGCCATACGTTGCCACGATGTTAGGGTAACCTTTGTTTGGGAAAAAGATGAAAAAAAAGGTTAAGAAAAGAGATAAACTTTAACAAATACTTACAAAAAAACACTGTTAATTGTGTGTGTTGATATGGGAAGATAAGTACAATAAATGATGTATTACACAGAGCGTTACAAAAGCGGTCTCACTCCCTTGAACATTACATCCACAAACCAACAGGGGGAGTAGTACATAGTAATAAAGGTAAAGAAAAATGTTTGAAACATTTCACGATAAAAAAATGAAAGCATGGTCTGTATTTGTGTTCAGGTTGTGTCTCTAACAGCTTTGGAAACTTAGCTACAGAACATTTAGCAAAGTTTGGTTTCGCTAAGTATTTCAACACTGATAGGACTGACAAACTAACATGCTTTGATCCAAACGGCTGCACTGAGGCTCTGCCAGTAAGATCAGGATGGTTCTCCGTCCCACGCTCAAGTGCTTTAAAGCCTGTTCCTTCAAGAAATTCTTTGGGTTCTGCTCAATTTATTTTTCTATTACAGCTTCTCAGTCCCCCCCCCCCTCAATTCTGACCAGTTCGAGAGGAAAAAAAACTTCCCCACAGCATGATGCAGTCACTACCATGTGTCATCATGGGGTGGGTGTGGTCAGGGTAATCAGCAGTGAAGCGCTTTAGGCAAAGTGAAAACAGGACTTCTTGTTCCATGAAGACTTAATACATAGAGTGCAAAAGTGTTGCTAAATTGTTGTCCTGACGGCTGATTTTCACACCTGATCTGTGGATAGGTGAAAGTTACCATGTGGCCATTTATTTATATTTAAAAATAAAACAGTTTGTGACGCCAAGAAGGACAGACAAAAAGAATTTAAATTCTTACTTTCTTTGTGCTGCAAAAATTCAACATGGGTTTTGCATAAAAATGCAGAAACACTGCTAAAACAATTTTTTTCTTATTAGCTTCACATTTAAAAGCAATTCCCTTTTTTCATTTTTTTTTTTTTTTGTCAGATTTATTAAGAGTCTCTTTGGAGGGTCTTTGTGGCCACATGCGTATCTGTAGCAGGGTTAAAGAATCCTGTTTTAGGAGGAAGATGTGCCACACTTTATCTATTTCCAGATGCAAGATTGAAAGGCATTCAATGAGAAATCCTGAATATTCTTTTATAATTGTTTTAATGTTTTCCCCACAGCTTTCTCCCTGACCGGCCTGGAGAGTGTTTTGGTCTTTGTGATGCTGTTGATTCCCTAACTGTGTCAAATGAGCTTTTGAAACTTTCACAGAACAGATTTATACAGAGACCACATTACAATCAGTATTTAGTAATTAGGTGTTTTCTAAAGGTCATGAGTTTAATCTGAGTTTATTAATGGGCTGAAAAAGTAAAGGGAGTGAATGAAACCAATCATATTTTTAGACATTTTTCTTCCATTTCAAAGTTATTTTGTTGGTTTATCACATAAACAAAATACACAGAATTGTTGTAATGACATGACAGAAATGTGGAAAAGTAGAAGAAGCACAGAACTTTAGCAAGGCACTCATCCAGTCTAACGCAAACAATCCATACTGTTATCTGAGTTAGATGGAGCCCTCAAATTCATTTAACTCTGCAAGAGAAGTTTTCTTATCATCCTTAAACAACAACAACATGCCTGAAATAACAGAGCCCCACATTTGGGACTGTCACACCTCTTGAATACAAAGTCTAGAGTCGTTTCCCTTGTTTGAAAAATAGCAATAAGCAAGGAGAGATTTATTTGTGTGCTTTAAACCTAATAAAGCCTTGTTGACTGAGAAGCTTTCTCTGTAAGCAGAGTTTAACAACAAGCAGCTCCCTCAATCACTGGTTGTCTTTCACAACTGCGTCAGCCTCTAATCACGATCGTGCTGCTTTTGTTGCTTTGGATGAAGTCTCGGGGCTGCTGTCAGAGATCTCAGTGATTCATTTAGTCGGTAAAATTTTACAAGGATAGCTATAAAACTGGAGCCTACCCTTCTCTTTCAAGAGAGGAAAATATGATCATTTCAAATCCAATCGTTATGAACTGCTTAAATTCTACACAATCTGTCAAAAATGCACCCATTTAGTCAACAACCTTCAGAACAGGTTGTGGTGTTGTTCTGCGTATCCATTCTCACCTTCATACATGTTTACTTTATTTATTTTTTGGTTTACATCTTTATAGAGGCTGGTAATTGAGAGCTGGCGTCAGATTCGCTACGGTTTGAAACCAATGTACAAATACCCGTTTCTTTTTTAAATGGCAAGTTCATTTCCAATCTTTTGTTAACCACAAGCTCTCAGGCATTTTTATAGCACCATGTAATAACATTTTATAGCAGGCTCCTGGAAATGATGCCACCCATTTATGTTCTATCTTCACCATTGCACAAAGGTTCATTTTTAAATATGGTTAGAGTTTTTTTTTTCTTTTTAGACATAAAAGCACCTAAAAGCATAACATTTAGATATTTAGTTTTATTGGTTGAGTCAATGTTGTACCATTAATTAAAATTAAATTACACAATGTTTTTCTTTCCCAGGCAGATCTGATATAAATGTTAGCGGGGTCACTAGCGCCTTATTTTATGTTCGCAAGCCAATCTGTTCAGAGAAACATCAAATGAGAGCATCTGGCTTTGGCAAAAACAACTTAATGGGTTCTTTTTAAACACTTTTTTTTTTAGAACAGGCTACACACAGCTGGGGATGCAATGATCATAAAGCCAAAGCTTTTTGTCAAATAACGCCAGACAACCTTACCTACCAAATCATAACCGCCATTCAGACCTTTGCAGTCATGCCAGTAATACCATTGTCATAAAAACAAAACTTTATTTTCAATATTTTTGCTTTTTATGGGACACATTTTTTTTAAAAATCTAACCTGAAGTACACAAAACAAAACCTCATAAGGTCATTTTTCATTAGAACCCCCCCACCAAAAAAAACAAAAAACAAAAAAAGAAACAAAGGCAATATAGAAAGTGTATTTTATAAGTGCATGAAAAGCAAAGTGTGTCCATGCTGCTTTCTTTTCAGGCGTCAAGAGCGGACGTCAGAGCCAGGTACAACTAATAAAACGCTTAATTAAATCAAAGGTTTAATTGATCACCAGTAAGTGTGACCACCTCTGACAAAGTAGGAATTTCTTTACAGTCTGTTCATCTGAAGCATTCAGGTGTGTGTCAATAGAAGGCCATTGAGGAAAAAAAAGGTCTTAAAATTCACAACTGGTTCAGTTCATCAATCTTCAAAATTTTATTTCCATTTTTATGTTTTTAAATACAATGACTTTAAAAGTAAAAAATGGTACAAAATAAAGATGGATACATTTTCTTTAACAGGATTTTGATATCTGTGGATTAAAAAAAAAATTAAAGACAAGATAGAAACTGTCTTTTGAATCTAAAAGATATCACTGGTGCTTTTAGTTTTTGCCTGTTGTGTTAATTAAGAAAACACTGATTCAAAATCTTTATTTTTTCTATCTATATATAAAAATTGTAGTTGGCTCTCCCATTTTTAGTCAAAGTTGTCGAGCTGCAAATTGTGGACGTTCTGCGCTGAGACCTGAAGAGAGCTTCACAGAACCCTGCAAACCTCAAAATGAAGCAAAATTATTGAAAAGAGTGGGACAAAAACAATGTCAGGTCGTACAAAAATGATGACTTCAAGTTATTCACGCTTAAGACGGGACTAGAAGTTCAGTAATTTGAGTACAAGGTTTTTCTGTTTTGACTTTGTGGAACAAGTTTATTGTTGAAGGAGTCAGGAGTGGTTTTCTCTTTTACATTGAACGTATTTGTAGATGAAAACAAGGCAGAGGATGTTGTGAGTTAACTATGAGTTGCTGGTATTTTTGCCTTTTGTAGGTACCTTTGATTCCACATGCAAAGATTACAATGCAAATCCCACTAGAATTACAATCAAGGTAGACTGACAAATGTTCACAGATTAAAGTGAAATCTGGAGGAAACTTTAAATGATACACAAAAATTTGAAGTGTTTCCTGTTCGCTGAAACACATCAAAAATGTGGATGCATAATTTAACTCAAATCTGTTTTGAGTGAAAGCGTCACTAATTTTGAAAACGTATGATTTGCTTGGTCAGACTCTGCTAGTGAACATAAAAACTTTCAAATATTGACAAATGTGACTTCACTGTGTCTGTAAACCAAAGTCTCTGTTGAGAAATCCCTCCCAATGAGGACAAGAGAGGATCCGGTGTCATTAGAAATATTTAAGAGCAGCAGATGCATTGTTCATCTGCTGTCATGATTCTTATTACAACCACAGACCAACCAGTTAATTAGCTGGACAGTTTTCAGACAGAAGCAGCTGTGGGCAACATATTGGGAGAGGATGTGAGGGAGCAGCCATTGGATACAAGAAAAACAAGAAATGTGAGACGAGTAAAGGGGTGAGTTAGTGAGCCAGAGTGAAAGTCGGAGAGGATGGGAGCATCATCAAGGGTAATATGAACATAATTAACCCCTCTGATTATGAAATGAGTGTTAGTCTTTATTTGTTTTCCTTAAGCCATTACTACTACCAATCATTTTTTCTGTACTAAACTACTGGGAAAGGTGCAGTACTTAAAGGTGCAGTATGTAACTTTTATATCTGTATAAATACACCGCTCCTGACCAAAAAATAACTTGCTGCTACGTGTGCTAATGGTGAAAAAATAACTATATATAGAAATATATAGAAAATATTTATCCACCCTCATTGGTGGCCATACCAACTGGCCTAGCATTCACAACAAGATAGGAAAAAGCTAAAGTGGTAGCAGACAGCAAGGGAGGAAGCAGCGCCACACAAGATTGTGATGGACAAGTGCCAGGGTCTTCCTCCTTTCTCTGATTGGCTGTTAGGTGACTCTTTGTTACTTGTTCCTAAGGTCAGTTGGCATGACCTCACAGCTCCAAAGATGGAGTATTCGCTGATAGAAAAAAGATGGTAAAGAGTTTGAATCAGCTGATTTCAGCTACAAGCTCATTTCTCTGTGTGTCTCTAACAGCTGTTTAGGTAGAAGTTACACAAACACACTTTAATCTGTTAGAAAACAAAAACTAATCAAATATTGGACTGGTGGCTAGTATAAACTGAAATCAATTCAATAAAAAAAGATGCAGACTGCAGCTGAAAAGTCAAACAATAGCTTTTAAAAAAAAGTTTTAATCATTATAGATGTTTACTTGAAAACAATTATGATGATTATTGCTGCTAAAAAAACAACCCTCGTTTGCTACAGCAGCATTATTGTACATTTAAGCAACCTTGAAACTTTAAAGCCTGTTTTTAAGTTGGACACAGCGTTTTGCAGACCAAACATCAACCAGCCCAAACGTAGAACCACGGAGCTGAATTGACTCACTGAGAGACGAATGACACTTCCAGCTGTAAACCAGAAAATGGTGCCCAGACTTGTTTTTATCAATGTTTATCTTTTTTGTTCCATAATTATCCATGCGCCTGCAGTGATTCTCCAAGTTTTTCCTCACATCATCCAAAAATATGAATGTTAGGTTAATTAGTCACTCTCCAGGTGTGCAACCTCTCTGCAATTAACCACTGTAGATACACAGCAGCCCCCCAAAAAAGATGGATGGATGGGTGAATGCATGGAGGGCTTTATTGATGATTTAATGCTGCATCTAAAAGACAGTCTCTAGTTTCTCATTGGTTTGAAAAACACCAAACAAATGTGTTAAACATAAAGTGCCATTTGCATTTATTGTTTAAAAAATCAACTAGTGACTGGGTTGGGCAATTTTCAGCTTGAAGCCCCAGTAATGTAACTTTTATCAAAAAATATGTATTTTATGAATTTGTTAAAGCTGTCACTATCTTGTGACAGTATGGTATGAGACAGATATGTGGAAATAATTGAGCTCCCTGCCTCCTCTCAGTGGTAGTATTGCCATCTACAAAAATCTCCTGTTCCCAGCCAGAAAGAACCAATCAGAGCCAGGAGGAGGGTCTTAGTACTGTCAATCAAGCTCAGTTTAATGCGTCAAGTCCACAATAATTTTGTATTTGTTGTAAAATATTAATATTCATATTTGTAAAGTCATATTTTATACAAAAATCTCTCCCACATAAGAGGTAAATAATAAATATTATTAGAAAAATACCATTGAACTGTCTAACATATGTTATTTATAGAGCATTTAGATCCCTAATGTTCTAGAAGTCTGCCCAGGGGTCTGAGCTACACACCTATGAGCACATTTCTGCAGCATAAAGGTGTCCATAAATGCATAAAAAATATCTTTAGCATGTCTGAGCATTTTTCTGCGCATATGCAGGATATGCGAATGTTCGAATGCGAGCATGTGTGCAGGCTCTGTTCTGTATGCTTCATGGGCTGTGCCAGCTGGAATCAGAAAGGTTGACCTTGGTCATAAATATCTAATCAGTGTTTGCTGTCCATGAAAAAGTTCAATTTATTCCTGACCCAATGGGAAAATGCCTCAGCCAGAGCCTCTCTTGCAGACAAAACGAAATTCAACTCTGAGAGGCGGTGAGAGGAACCTTAACCTGGTTTGGATGAAGTAGGACAGAGGCAAAATAAGAAAAAAAAACAGTTCTCATCATCCGCTGATGAGAAGTCATCACCAGGAAGTTACAGATGGATAGCTCTCACAAATAAAAACCCTCATTGTTTGTTTGGTCAGAAAAGAACTGCGATATGGTACAATGAAAAGCCATCACAGCCAGCAAATTATTGGATATTACGTGTTTGATACTGTCTTACTGTCAAACTGAATAAGTGCCTGACTGAAATTGTTGGCTCAAATACCACTGATCTTGATTCTTCCATATTTCAACATCTTGTGAAAAGAAGAAAAAAAAGAAGAAGCATAGATTACAAGAGGTAAAAGCAGAATTTGAAGCCAAATGGATGAAGTGTAGAAAGGTTTTGAGGTACATTGAATGCATGCTGAAAGTGCCTGCATGTGTAAAATAGCAGGAAGGCAGCCGGGAAGAAATCGTAAAAGAAAGAAAAGGCAGGGGATAACTTGTTGTTTCACTTAATGAAGCTTGCTGCTGTGCCTGGCCTTGTGGCGGCCTCTTAGTGCTCTTATTTGCCTTATTAATATGCATGCTAATGTACCTATTTTATGGCCCAACAGTTCTGATTCACTTTAAAATCAATTATCCATCTGGTACACCCATACCTCGCGCAGGCTCAAATGTGTATTAATTTCAGCAAACATACATCGGCACAACACAATAAAGATAAATGCCTCGATTAGAGGCAGTAAACAAAGGAGCTAGGGATGGCTTTAATGAGATTTGGCACAAAAGGAGCTTACACTTTCTTAAATAATGAGCCTAGGGTCCCTTTTTCCAAATGCAAATTATATAAAGGAATGTTTCGCTGTCCTTGTTCCAATTTCATTTAGATAAGAGTGTCTCCAAACAAGTTGGCTGTTAATATTCTCACATGAGCACATCACTGCCTTTCTGCCTGGCATCTCCCAGTGGAGGGGGAAGAGGGCTCTCTGCGGTGCAGACACTTTAGTCTGTAATAAGTTCTGAAAAGTTCACTGTGCTTGTTAAATACTTCGACCGGATGAGATGGAGCTGAAAACGGCTCCGACGGACTCGACAGACGCACTTGGCTGGACTCGTCAACTGTTTTACCACCAACAACTGTGTAATCACTTTCAAGGAAAGGTCAGGCCTGCGGCTGCCGGGACAATTCTACAAACTTTATGCAGACAAATGACGAGATCAACGCATAGACATAGTTGATAGAATTCATTTACTGCCTTTGAGAGTATACAGCTACTGATGTTTGAAGTCACTGCAGAACAAGGAGAGGAATCGCTTTTTTTTCCCCAATAAACCTTTAAAACTACTTGATCATTGAAATGATTATTCGTTTATTTTATGATTTGTGCATTAACTTAAATCTTAAATGAGTTCTTAACAGCTGTGGTTTACATTAATGTTTTGTATGAGTAGTTTAAATGCAGGTACAGCTATAAAATGACACGATATTCATCCCTTTAAGCACATGCAAGCATAATCTGCATGTAAGTTGGTGCGTATTTCCATAGCAATAGATGTTGGATTCCCTTTGTGAAAAAATAAAGAGAAGAATAGCTTAGATTTTATTTAAACATTAAGTTTGACCATACGCACTTTTTAGTATTTTAGACTACCCAAATGAAATTGTCACCTGAATCATTATTGTACTAAGTTATGAAAATAACTTAGTACAATAATGACAGTTTTTCCACTACCTGTATTTAAAGATATTTACGCGAATCCTTATTTAAAAAATGAAATAACTACATTTTAAATCTGTCCAATATATGTCAGTAGCTAGAATTGGCGGAAATGCAGGAGTGCTAGCTTTGAATCCATCTGCTTCAGGTGGGGAGGAACCATTTGGAGGGCAATCATTTGCTTTTTATGGAAAAAGACTTTAAGTGATGGCAAATCCATTTGGTTTAGCCACACAATCAAATTATGCATTATGCATATGGAATGTGAACGACAAATAGATAGCCAGGTAGATAACTAGACAGACAGACAGATAGCCAGATAGATGGGAGGTGAGTAAGGGGGCAGGGAGGCAGAGAGTGCATCGGTGTTAAATAAAAAGGGACACAGGCATGGGCTGGAAGGTAATGAAGAGGGGTGGGTCGGCAGCTGAGGTCCCTGTAGATGAGATCTCTCTCTGACATGTGTGTCCCCTTCATTACCCATTAAGGGGGGCACAGTGATGAATCCTTAATATGACATTACACCAATTTTCCTCTTCATTTAGTCTGCTAATGTGCTGGTCTGCTCCTATATGCCCAGGGGCTGCCTGTACCAGACTCAACCCGAAATAGACCACAGTGGCCACTGGTGGCACACCTTGAAGCAGCCTAATTAGGGGCAGCAACCACCTAATAGACATAGTTGATTTTTAGATGGGGTAGTTTACTTAGTTTGTTTTACAATAGGTAGAACCTGACGCTGGAGTGAGACGCGTATCGGCTGTTCATCTGATTTTATTTGAGATATCTATCGTTTACATTTTATTACGTTCTAACAATGATGTATTCAATATCTTTTAGTGGGATTTTATGGGATAGACCAATAAAAAAGTATGATGCGAGGAAAAGAACTCATGGTAACAGAATATTAAAAAAATGGTGAGTATTCTTACTCAACCCCTCTTTACTCTGACGACTCTAAATAAAATCCAGTGTCCGAATGTCTCCAAAATTCACCTATAAGTAAATTTTCAGTCCCTTTGAGATCCAAAATGTCTGTTTCAAGGGAGACCTAGCCAAGAGGCAGCTAAGATTATGCAACAATTACAAGTAGTTACATAATTAAAGTGCTACACAAATAATTAAAAACAGTCATAATTTAAAGAATTAATCTCTAGTGCTCTCAGTATGGACTTAAAAGTGCTTTATGAAATAAGTACAGTTAATTTCCAGTCTTTTGGCAACATACTCCATGTAGATGAAGTTGAGTGAATGGTGTTTTTGAGCAGAGAAGAAGTGATTGGGGATGATGTGTTGATGGGTAGAGCTAAATGTGGAGTAATCCTTCATGAAAACCTGCAAAATATGTGAAACTAGGGCAGCGGGTTCATCCTTCAACAGAAAAATTACCCTAAACATACAGCCTGAGCAGAATTTACATGTGACCGAATGGCCTAGTCAAAGTCCAGACCCAAAGCCAGCTGAGGAACAGACACAAAATAACTCAGACGGACTAAGTTTGAGTTATTTTGCTAAGATGAATGGGCAAAAACATACTTCAAAAGTTTACCAGCTATAATTGTATATTTTTCCTTCTCCTTCACAATGATGCACCGCCTTGCCTTAGGCTTCCACAGAAACATCTCCATAAAATACAATAAAGTTTGTGGTTGTGATGTGAGAAAATGTGAAACAGTTCAGGAAGTGTGTGTATTGCTGAATCCAACTCACTCAGCATGCCCATCCCCAGCATGAAGGCATCCATGGTGTAGGGCAGACCCCGGGCTCGCCCTCGCGTACCTGGTGGGAACATCACCTCCTTGGGCTGGGCCTTCTTACATTCTACCTATGTACACAGACAAACACACACACAAAAAGACAAACCATTAGACTGTGTAGGTACACAAGAAGACAGATCTGACAGGGCTGTCTCAGCTCTTAAAGCTGGTTTCTGTCTGACTCACACACAGCAAGATGTTTTCCATGGGAGAGAGAGAGAGAGAAAGAGAGAGAGAGACAGAAAGAGAGAGACAGGAAAAAACACGACTAAGTCAATCTGAGCTGCTCACATTTTAGAGGAAAGACTCCAAGGAAAACTTACAATCGTGCTCCTCCTGTATTAAAGCAAAGGTTATTGCTCCAGTGAGCATGTACCCTGAGCCTGGGGGAAATACAAGCTAAAGTCTTTTCAGAGTTTTGAGACATCAGAGCAGGAGAAGCTCCGTTTCTACCATCCTCTCAGTCGCAGACTTTTTTTTTTTAGAAGTTAAACATCATAATCACCAAAGAAGTAATAACTGCAACAATAGATGTAATTCAAGCAGAGCTTCACCCAGTAAAAAAAAAAAGTTTTTTGTCTGCATTCCAAGAGTTGAAGTCCCCAGTGTCCCACTGCCTCTTTCCACCTGCAGCACTCATCACTTCCCTGCATTTATTCCTCTCACTCTCCCTCTCACATATATACAGGTTTGCTCATTTTCCCATCTAGCAAGACTGACATCCCCTCCTTCTACATAACACATATCAAATGAGGGATGTGACAGGGGCAGATGAGGGGAAGAAGAAAGATGAGAGTGCTATTTACCACGTATCCATCCTATCTGTAGGAATTACAGCCGCTGACGGCGCTGCCTTGGCCCTGTGTCTCTCGGTTGTTCTTTGGTAGGCTGAGTCCGTTCACCATCCTGCACAATCTATTTGCTCCACTGCCTGCTTGGCATCAGCCTGTCCATCTGTTTGTCTGTTTGCCTCCTGGCTCTCGCCCGCTTTCTCCCCACTGCCTCCACTTAAGCGGGGCTTTCTCAGCTGCCGCGATTCACATGTCATCCCGGCCTGCTGCACAAAGACAGGCTCCTGCACCGGTGCAGCGTGCGCATCAACTGAAGGTATAGCTAGGCTCCCATATAAATAGGTCTGCAGCTCCTGACAGGCCGGTGGTGAACATTATTATTCACACACAGAGCGGTAGGCACAACATGCTACCGTGAGTTGCCAAACTGAAGAAATACTTCATGCCTTGAGAGGTTTTCCGTGCCGAATCGATAGAGTAACAAGCGCCGTACACTACATCCAGCCGAGAACAAGACATGTAAAAAGAGAGCACTAATGAAAAAGGTTTCTATCACAGAGGGGGAAGTTGCTGTGTTGCAAAGATGTGATTTGTTGCTGTTAGCGGCCCTTTTTATTTGAAGCAGACCGCCTAAAGTACACAGTTCCCTCAGCCACTTTGTAGCTGTCACAGCCACTCTGGCCTCCACGTTTGCCTGGTGCAGTTTGACATTGTGCTGAAGAGAACTCCGGCGCTCCCTATAGTCAAGAGAATGACCCCCGGCATGGATGCGGGAGCCGGCTGCTGGGATGAACGAGTGTGTTGGAAATCTCAGCGCGCTGCTGGGATTTTCATATGTTCACATGGCTGGGTGACAAATACGGTCGAGTTCCGCCCACGCCGCAGACGTGCTGCTGTCTGATCAGCCGTCCTCCTGTAACCCCTGCCACTTCCAGAGAGTTGGACGCTCAGGTGGCCTGCTGGGAGTTAAGACAGAGCCCCGCGTGTGAGTCATGCCTACATGCTCTCAGATACGAGTCTTTGATATTCAGAGCGAGGGCTCCTTGTCATGGATTTAAAAAGAAAAAAAAAAAAAAAAACAGTCAGAAGCCAGGATCTGTGGTGGTGTGAGCGCGTGGGTGTTCACCTGCATCACAGACAGAGAAGTGTGTGTGAGGGAGGCAGGCAGGAGCTTTCAAGAGTCAGCTTAGTTAAAGTGAAAAAAAAAAAAAGGGGGAGGAAGGTGTAGAGAGGACACGAAGACAATTCAGCGCCTGTCAATGAAAAGCTACAAAAGGCTCAGCAACTGTGAGGGTGAAGATTCAAATTTTGCCAAGTGGAAAGTTTTAGCGGCTGAACCTTGAGCAGCTTAAGAACACTGAGTGTACAGGTGTTAGCTTAAAGTATTTCCAAGAATTATGGCTTGTTCAACCCTCAAGGACTCTGGGATTTCTTTATTTTTTTTTAAAGTCGTCGCAATAACGTGTAACGAAAAGTGCCGAATCTGAACCCACAATATAAACATCAAGGTGGCATTGTGCGGCATGTTCGCCCTGTTGGGAAAGCCGACACCCCATTAACCTGCCTTGACTTTCTAAAATTTAGCAAAGGCAAAGAGTCTGGGAGCTGCAGCAGCCTCGAAACACACAGGTACAGATTCAAACCGTTCAGCCATGCAGCGTTCACAAGTTCCAGCTATCTCAACCTAAGTGCTTCCAGCATAAACCGAAAGGGTACTTTCTGTGCTGCACTGATATACAGCAGTAAAGCTAAAACAAATCTTTTTATTAAGGTATATCAGCCACTGCCTATGACTGCCTGCATGCAGGGAAAAAGCCTCCTAAAGGTAAGGCATTTATTGGAGCAGATGTGTTAGACTTCACTACATATAATTCAACTGGAGGCTTTCGATGATGTCTGAACAACTTGCAACACAGTTTAACAAGGGTATAAAATAATCCAAACTGGCATCAGGCCCAAAACCAGTGTGTGGTACAAGGGGACAGATGTTATCATATAGAAGTCAAAGGGATCTCCTGCTGGCAAAATCTTGCATATTTAAAGCATTTAGTAATACACATACAAAAACAGTGAAATAATTTTTCATGCTTACTCTAACAATTATATAAGTAAAATATGGATGAAGAAATCTGATTTGCAGTACCAAGCCTAATATTTTCGAGAACATGTCTCTTGCAAATTGATTTTTATTTGATCAGAATTAGAGATGCGGAGTTTCGCAGTGTCAACTGATTTATATAATTAGGTTTTCAATACTTCTAAAACTTTCCACTTACACTGTTGTTATGGCCTAAAGATCTGAAAAAAGAAAACCAGAGTGACTCCTCTAAAGTTTACAGTGTCATATCTGGACTAAGTCCAGATAATGATGCAGGAAAGTGCATAAAAAACAGGGAAATGTTTAGATATTGATGTTTGATCTTATTTTTTTTTACACGTACAAGATAAAGTGATTCACTTAAAGGTAGACACCAAAACTGACCTCCTCAACAAAAACATGTTTTCTTAATAAAAATTATAATCTTAATAGTAAGTCTTAGCCGTCTTTGTTTTAAATAGTTTCAATGAAATGTTTGTTCAGTTCTCTGACATCTATTTATATTACTTGAATTTTCTATGTTAAATATCAATTTGCGTAAATAAATGTTAACTTACAGTTATTGTAAGATGTTTTCATTTTTTTCAGAAGTTTTCATACATAAATACATATTAGTAAACGTAAATGTTTACTAAAATATCTTCAGATTTTTTGTTTTTAAAATTGTTGTAATTTAAGCTAACATTACTACGAGCTAACGGATACAAGTGTGGCCTAAAAAGCATGCAGGAATGATACAACTCTTTCTTTCAGAATGTTCCTTTTATTCTGCAACAAAAACAAAAGCATGATTGAAATCTCTATTTTCAATATGTAACACTATTTTCCCAGGAATCAAAGCAGCTGGTATATCTCTGTTTTAAATAAAAACCATTAGATCACATTATATAAACACTATGGCATCCTCAGCAGTGGTATTTTGCCTTCATACTGTCATACTGCGAGGATCTCATACATATGTGGCTCTCTGAAAGTTGGTTTTCTATATTAAACATTCAAGCTCTACATTGAAATTATTACACACCCCAACAGGATTACTTTATGATAAATGTAATAAAAGCCCACTGCTGAAGAAATAAACAACCCTCCTTTGTTTTGACTGCCTGAAAGCTACGACATAGTGAAGAAGCATGCCAAGAATGACCTTTTCAATGCATCCCCCATCTATATTAACCTTGTAGGTAGAACGGAGAGGTGTGGGCGGGATGGACTGGCAGTGACTGTCCTTCAGGGACCAGCGATGTGGGTGTGGAGTGCATCTGTGTGAGTGTGTATGTGTGTGTTGAGGAGGAGGCGTACAGCTGCTATTAGCTTCACCAGTGAATGAATTCCATCAGTCGACTGGCAGACTGGAGAAAAGGAAACGGTGTGATTCATTTACTCCCAGCTGAACAGTCAAAACACACAGAGTGCATAGTTAAAGGCTGTCACAGCACTGACTGGCCAATGTCGGTCCTGGTGAGGGTGAGATTACAACTAAAAAAAAAAATAAAGTTTCAAACATGGTCTAACACTTTGGCTTTTCGAACAAAACAAAAAGGAAAATTAAAAATGATTTTCGACAACTGACAAATGTGAAAAATTAACGGCAAGATTTAAGACGCGCACCGAAAGCCAGTGTATTTCAATAGATCCTCTGATCAGCAGACTCCTTGTTCTTTATGAAGACTTTAACCAACGTTAGTAAAAAAAACAAGCAAAAACTGGACAATTGAGGGATCCAAGATGTATGATGACGATGACAAGTTTTAGAAAACGCAAAACGATGCCATCAATGGCGAACAATCTCAGACGAATCATTATGGTGGCGATCTCCCTGCATGGTTACGGCATATAAAAGGTAAAGGATATGGGGTCATTTTAAGGCCATGTGCACCCCGTGGTGTTTGCTCTCCCCCTCTTACCAGGCTTTTATATTGCAAAAATAATATTGTCGACATCCACACTAAGAAGCACATTCAGAAGTAGCACCATGATCATCAGGTTGATGTCAAATGGCCGCCATCACTTCCTCAATCAGCAGATTTGAACATCTCTGCGCTTTTATGGGACATCCTGGTGAGCGGAGTGCAAAGTGGATTTCCACTTCCTTCATCCCTCAAAGCTTTCCTTCTTCAATGAAGGGTAAACATCCAATTACTTACAGTCCAGGACTTGTAAGGCAGCGCTGCATGAGGGA